TATATATTATATATTATATATTATACTACATTATAATTCTCAGCGACGTAGTCAGTACCTTTTGCCACTTGCAGGCTGCAACTGGCGAGACGGAGCCGGAGCGCTCTGCGTCGACGGTGGCTGGGCAGAACTTTTCATCTTCGACTCATCTTTCGGATTTCCGGATTTCAGCTGACAATAATAATATAACATATAATATATAATAGACTAAGGCAAAACCTTTCGGAATTTCTGTGCTCCCCAAAACCCCTGTGGGACGCTCCCGTGTTTAGTGACGACCCATCGGCCGGAATGCGTTGCTCGCGGTCCTCCTGCATAGAGCTCAGCATCTGGCCGCACCTGGAACTCAGCTGGACACTTTCTGCCTTGTCTGCACAAGTTTTGAAGACCTGTAGGCCGATGTTCTTCAGCCATTCATCGATCGACTTCCAGCTCCTTAGCCCATTATTGAAGCCACATACTACGCCTTTGTTCGTGCTAATGAGGAGGTTTGTGCCCTTGCTGCATGCCTGGGTTATCAAGAATCGCGACAGCCGGTGGCATTGGGATAAGGCAGCCACCAGAAGGTCCTAGAAGCAGTCCATTCCAAAATCCATTGTACCTGTTCGCAGATCCTGCGTTCTCTAGCTGTTGCAGGATTTGCAAACAGAGCTTGTCCCTGAGCTGCTTGCAACTCGAAGGTTTTACCGACTCACAAGCTCACCCCTCGATCGAGGAGCCCTGCCACCCGCTTTTGTTTGTGCAGCACTTAGAAGGTTAGCTTGCTGAGCGATAGCTGCAGTAGTGCTGCGAAGGTTAGCGGAGCGAGTGTTCTGGCAGAGACGTCACGAAGACCACGCATCACGAATCCACACGTCGCTGAAACCTCACACACAGGAGGATCTATTACATTTGGCGTGCCTTTTGCTGTGCCGTGCCTTCGCGCCTCCGAGTCAAAGAGGCATGAGTTATGGGGCTTTGGGTTTTGTTTGCTTGGAATCCGTTTCCACGAAGCTTGCGCCCGCAGGGATGAGCGCAATCGGTCAGAACTGATAGCGACCGTTATGTTATTCGGAGGTTGTTTGTAAATAGGAAGCCACTGCCGTAAACAAGATGCGCACCTCAACTTTTCACTAGTAGTGAAGAATAGTGAAACAGAAACGTCCACTCTCTCAGCCAGAATGGTGAGAATGCGTTGCCGAAGAGCCCTGCCTGCTAACCCAAGGATCATGGTCTTTGGCACGCCAGTGCTCATGATGTGCCTAGCAAGGCCGTTCCCACAGGAGGCGGGCTCGTGTGAGTCAGTGAAAGTGGCAACCAAACTCAACACCCAAAGGCAAAGCTTATTGATCTCCACTACTGAGGCCTTTCCAATTTCCGAATACCACCTCTAGAGAACAGGTCCTGGCAGCCTTGACCCTGCTGACCTCTGCCTTCGTCTACTCCAACACGCTGACTCCCAGTTCAATCAGAGGATTGTCGCAGGGTCGACTGTTCGTAGATTCAACAATGCGGGATGGAAGCTGCACAGACGGTGCACAGGCTACCCGTACGTCTTGCAGCTTTTCAGATTTGGCCGAGAGAGAGAAAACGGTTTAAGCATGGATGACAGCACCCGAGTGATTCAGTGGGTAAACAAGCCAGGCAATTTGCTAAGCAAGTACGTAGGAGCCTCCCCCAAGCCACCTTACACAGGGTCTTCGCAGTCGTGGGCGGGGTGGAGTTGTTTGTGTTGGATTCGTGGGCGCCAAATCAAGGCAGAGGTTTGCCTCCCCGTCCACTTTAGCTTTCGTGCTTTGTCGATGCGGCGAGTAGTGATAGGCAGAAGCAGAAGCCGGAAACGGCTGCCCGAGTTTGTGGCGCATCTGGAAAGATCAGAAATGGGAATAGACGCGTATGTGCCTGCTCTTGGCGAGTCCACCTCCGGAATGAATGGCCGTGTGGGCAACGCCCGGCCACCCGAATGACTTTTCCTTCAAGCCCTCGGATGGCAAGCAAACCTGCCAGATGAGGTACATGTTCATCTTTGCCGGCCTTGGACTGAAGAGAATGCTGGCGCAGGCAAAGCTTGATCCGGCCAGCATCTGTGACTTTACAGCAATGACTTTCGTTCTCGGCAGTTTCCAAAGATGGGGTCTCCTTTCACCTACCAGCCATCATCGACACGAATGTCGCGATCGCTGTCCACCTTACTTTGTATTCATTGTTTTGAAAAGGCGCAAGCACTTCGCCTGACGCGGTGTAAACGGCGGATGTCAGAATGCATTGATGCCTTCTGTCCCTGCTGGTATCAACTTGAATTCTGCCTCAGGTGAGGCCAACGCCCTGGACTTGCCGGTAACACCCAGCTCCAAGTACCTTCAGCAAAGGCCCTTCGTGCAATGCTTCGAGCTATCATGAGGTGTGGCTTAGTTAGTTAGATTTGGCAAACACGGTGTATAGCCACGGCAATGTGGCAGATAATCCTTCGGCGGCAGGCAGACCATGGACCCCAAAGCTGTGAAGCATTGGGTCATCCTGCACGGCCCTGAGTCTACCGGGTGTGATTGATTGTCGGCCTGGCAGGTGGCATAGGAGACTTGCAGTTGTATGCGAGAGTTCTGCTGGTCAAACAGGTCAGTTTAAACTTGGCTGTTGCTTTTCGTTTTGTGGTCAGACTCCTCCCTCGCGTTCCTGACCGACTGGGTGCACAATCAGTTGGCAACTGTTCAGCTCGCTGCAGCCGTCGTTCCATGTTCTGCTGCGAGGCCTCAGTACAAAGAGGACATCGAAACTGTTGCGATGGCGATGCGATCTGCGGCCGGTAGCTCCATGGTGACAAGCTCAATCATACGCCTGCTTCGAGAGTCAGAGCATTGTTCGACCTCCTTGTGGTGGCGTTACTGGTTCCAGGCGAAGTCGAACATCAGCATCTTGCTGGCCATGGAAGAACGAGAGATAGGAGCAGAAGGACTGCTTGGGGAAGCGCGCGTTCCGCGGTCGGGGTATGGGTGTTACGTTTCAGGGAATTGTGGAGGTTCATGCAAAACCCGGAAAATCGGCATCCGTCCTTCAATCTGAGCCCACCCTGAAGCCCCACAGTAGTTTCTGAGCCTCCCTGCCCGTGACACGCCACGCCCTGCAAGATAAAGTGAAGCAGCTCACCGAGCTCTTCAAGGATCAGTTTGAAGACCCTCGGCCAGCTTGGTGTTGTGAATTCTTGATATGCGTTGTGCACAACCCTTCAATCGTGCAAGTCGTCATCATCGCTGGTCTTTGGTAGCCTTGCCAGATACCGAGAGTGGTCTTCAGCATGAACTGTAGGCTCGTCGCTTGCTTGCTCCTCCCATACCTGCCTGTCCGTCCTACCCACGTTGCAAGGCACTGCACGTGGGCAGGTTTGGAACGTCATGCGTGACACGTTTGGCAAGGGGGTTCATCAGCTCAGTGTCAGCAATAATTCAACATTATGTTCAGGACCATGAGCAGGTTGCTGCATATGTCAGTGCCCCGTGAGTCGTCCGCCTAATCAGGGGCAGACCTTTGAGCAGCGACAGGTTCCCCAATCGTGGAAGAGTTACAATCACAGCAGATTTCCACACACATGCTGCTGTGATTTCCACACACATGCAGACATGCAGAAAGGGACATAAAGGATCATACACGTGTATATGCGCATACGGCGCAAATACCTATGCATGTGTGCATGCGTACTTTTTGACTTTCGTATATTGACACACAAATAAATGTCCACGCACGAACACGCTGTCACATGTACATGCATTTCCATCCATCCTTCCATCAAGCCATCCGATTGGTGTTCATGCCTGTCTGCAGACAGACATACACATGCAAACACACTCGCATAGTTGACAGAAGCATCCTTTAGCACGTGGGCTGTCGCTTCCCGTGGGCTTGCTGGATGGAAGCGTGCAAGCTTTCATCGGAATCGGATGTTGTCTGTTGAAGAAGCACTCCAGGTTCGTTTCAAGACCTTTCACACTCAGCTGGCGTGCCCAAAAAAGAGGACAACCTTGCTGCTCAGGACATCCAGGCGAACTACCACCCAAAGGACCTCCCCAACGACCCTCCGGGCAAGGCGAGCAACGTCAGTCATGCCTTCCGCTACCTGATCAGCAAGGCGCGCGCTCCACCGTTCGCAGGGAAGTCGCTCTACATGACGATGGTAGCTGCGAATGTTCAGCCTGGGCAGTCGATGCAGCAGGGGTCGAGTACTCTGTTTTGTTGGATTTGTGAGGAGCTGAGAGCGATGACTTTGTCAACCTGCCTGAAGTCTTTTAGATCCGATCCTGAACCCTGATAGCAACAGGTGGATTCCTACGAGAACACAATTCTGACGGTGGCAGATGCGGACTCGGAGTTCGGTCAAGGCACGGGTTGTTCGAGTTTTAAGTGTCACCTGCCCTCGAGGTCTCAGGTCTAAGCAGCCATAACACATACTGAAGCCGAACACACCATAAGACAGCACCCTTGCAAAAAGGCAGTCCCAGATAGGTCGCCCCATCGGTGCAGCTCAGGCTACTTCGAGACACTGTCCTGGAACTTCGCGGAGTGTGATCCGACAGAGCGGTACACGAAAATTTGGCAATCGCCGGTGTTCCACATGAGCCTCAGGCACAAATGGAGACCGAACCAAAAGCTTTGAGACGAATGCCTTTGGAAGCAAGGAAAAACTATCATCGACAGCCGGCCCCTGTCGTGGTGGGCACTATGTTCACTTCTATGCAGGAGAGCGTGACATTAGCTGGTGACCTCGTGCAAGAGCATGAACACTCACCC